CTTTTTTTTTTTTCATCTGCTCTTCTTCTTAATGCCCTGTGAATTGCCCTCCTCCTCTTTGAAGCCCCAGGCCCCTATCCCATTCCTTAGCTCAGGATGGCACGTATACCTCATTTTACCTTTCTGTTCTTGAATCTTTCATGTATGTGGGGTTCCTGCAATTAAATTTTTATTTTTTCCTGTTAATCTGTCTCATGTCAATTTAATTCTTAGACTAGCCAGAAGAACCTTACAAGAGTAGAGGAAAGTTTTTCCTCCCCAACAATAGTACAGATGCTAACCCTTTGTCGTATTTGTAGCAAATATTTTTACCCAGATTGTGGTTTGCTCTTGTTTTTTAGACCTGTGTCTATTTTTTCCCTTTGGAAATTCTTTACTGGCTTTTATGTTTAGAAAGTACTTCTCCTTCCCAAAATGAACTATTTTCTTTTAGTTTACTTATGACCTCTCTCTTTTTTCCTTCTTTGCATTTACCTCTTTAAAATCTGGAAGTGAAGGGCTCCTGCATGGCTCAGTCAATTAAGCATCTGCCTTCAGCTCAGGTCATGATCTTGGGGTTCTGGGATCAAGCCCCATGTCAGGCTCCTTGCTTGGTGGGGAGTCTGCTCCTCCCTCTTCTTTTGACCCTCCCCACTGCTCATGCCCTCTCTCTCTGTCTCTCAAATAAATAAATAAAATCTTTTAAAACATAAAATAAAATCTGGGAGGAAAGTGAGAAATTTACCCAAGGTTTTCCAAACACTTAACCAATTGCCCCAGCAACACTTTGTACCTCGGCCCTCCATTGCCCCTGCTCTCTGTGTCCAGGAGGGCAGTCTCAGCTACAATCCAGCCTAAAGGAGCACACCGTCCCCCAGGGTCTGCAGTCCTCTGGCCATCAGCACTCACACAAAAGCACTAGAAAACAAGTGTGATTTTTGATGTTGTGGAGAAGCTGAGGGGTTTACCTTGGAGAACCCCACACAAAGAACTTAAAAATTCCCTATAGAGATTTCTGTTCTCCTGAGCCTCCCCAGCTCCACCCCTGGGGGCCTGACCTTGCTTCCCTTCTCAGGGCTGCCCCTTGTAACTTGGCATTCCTTTCTCAGGAAGTTCAAAACCCTCACTCCCTCTCTCCTGTAGAACAAACTGGCTGGTATGGCTCCTGGCCCAAACCCAGCTTTTTCTAAACAAAGACCTTCAGCTAACAGCACCCACCTCCTTAGAAAGCAGAGTGGCAACTGTTTTTTGTCACTTGAGAATTCCTTTGGGGTCTCAGTCCCCACACCATGGGGCTTATTAACCTATTCCAAACAAATCCAGTGTACGTTTAAGTGGAATTCCCATACCATCTGCTAATGGAGCTCTAGGGTGCTCCATCTCCTCAGTGTCTTCAACATGCAGGAAGTGGGAGTTCTAGAAGATGTAGAATCTGGAGCCCCTCCCTTGGAGCATCAATATTCAAAGAAGCTACCCTGGGAGCTGAGAGCTAGGACAGAGCACCTGGGGAGCAGCCAGTCAAAGAGTCAGACCCCCAGGGCCCTTCCCAGATCCCCAAGTTGGTCTCACTGGCAGGCAGGGTCCGGGCACACCACCCTCCTCAAGATGGTCAGGGTCAAGGGGGACCCTTGGCTGCAGGGCAGCATAGCTTCAGAAGGCTCCAGGCCCACAATCCCGGGAGCAGCCATGGGAGCCTGGGGCAGCAACAGCCAGAGCAGTGACCACATGAACAGTGCCCATCACAGCAGGCATAGAGAGCAGGTGGCAGCCTTAGGGACTCTGAGATAGGGGAGAGGACTGGTGCCCCACCCCCCTGCCCCACCATGTGATTGCACAGGCTTGTGGAGGCAAATTCTGACCTGGATCAGGACAGTGGTTAAGGATCATACAGTGGTTAAGAGCACAGCCTTAGGGGCTTGGCCAGATGGCCTCGCTCACATCTCAGCTCTTGCTTTGACTGAGCCACACTTTCTTCATCTATGAAATGGGATAATGGTGCTTACCACAGGCCTTGTGGGGAGGATTAAGTAGTGCTGTGTCCATGCGTACGTTGAGAGTGAAGACCCAACACCTGGTCATCACTGTTAGCTGCTCTCACAGTTCCAGAGGCCAGAGGGCTGAAATCACAGTGTCTGCAGAGTTATAGCCCCTCTGAACACTCTAGGGTAGAATCCTTCTTTGCCTCTTGCAGCTTCCGGTGGTTTCTGGCGTTCCCCAACTTAGATCACTCCAATCAATGTCTTTACATGGCTGTCCTCCCTGTAGCTGGTCTTCTCCCTTCCCCTTCTCCCATATTGCATCATTTGTACCCGAGGGATTTTAATTTATGGAGGTGATTGGAAGATGACACAGAGAGGTCATTGCCATTGAAAGAATGTGTTACTCACACTTCCTGAGAGAAGGGGCATGCCCAGCCACACAGGGCCACATGGGAAACATCAAGATGGTCAGGAGGCAGAAGACAGGAGCAAGGGGAAGGCACAGGCCAGAGCCTTAACTGGAGTTTCTTCAGGAAGGGCAAAGCAAGGCAGAGTAAAGAGTTTAAGAATGGCTAGTTTGAATAATTCCAACAGGCTTTTGGCTCTAGGAGTGGTCTCTAGTTGCTGGTACCTGGTCCTGGGGTGACTTGGGGCAGGGGCAATACTGGCTTGGTGTGTAAGAGATAAAAAGGTGGGTGGGGGCTCAGCCTTAGATAGCCCATCTGCCCCAGAAAGGAGAGTTCCTGGCAAGCTGTCTTACAGGAGAGAGAGGTAAATACTCTGGCCAATAGTTTGACCCTGTGATTGATAGATGCTAAACAGACTTACAGAATCTAAGAAAACACAGAACACTTCTCTTATAAAGACACTAGTCATTGGATTTAGGACCTACCTTAATTCTGGATGATCTCAAGACCCTTAATTTAATTACGTCTGCAAAGACCCTCTTTCCAAAGAAGGTCACATTCACAGGTTCCAGGGGTTAGGATAAGAGCATATCTTTGGGGGGCCCACAATTCAACCCACTATAGATGCCAGTTGACTGGATTGGTTTATGGTTCTCTTCCCTAGTGTAGACTCTGGGGAGAAATGACAGCTTTTGCCTTTTTTGATGAGCCCTGCAGTGTTCCTTCCATAGTGGTGGCTTTGGCTGAATGCCAGTGCCAGAGAGGAATCCAAGGAAGGCTGTGCAAGGGACCCTGTGGGGTGATTTCTGGACCAGTGTGGGCAGAAGTCTTGGGATGGAGAAGTCTGAAGCTCAGGCAAGAAGGGAGATGACTTGAGAGCAGCAGTCATGGTAGCCAGAGGCCCCAGGGTGTTCTGGAGAGGTAGGATTGTGGGGCCTCCACAGCTTAGGTTCCTTGAATGACTTTCATGCTAGAGATGCTATTCCTTAAGGTGCCTTTGGTTGCTATAACAGAAAGCCCTGGATCAATTTCCTGAAACAACTTGGAAACAAATCACCTCTCATCACAGGAAATCTAGTGGCTGAGTGGCAGCAGGTATCATTTGATCAAGACTTGGCCCTACTTTTCTACAATCTCCATGGTTCCACTACTCTCTCTGTAGGGCTTTTTTTTTTTTTTTTTTTTTTTAAGGCCAGGTGCCCTCATGGTTACAAGAGACCCAACTAAATGTGATCATGTACAAGAGCAGAAGAGGACTACCTCTTCCTGGGTCTCCTAATAAGTAAGGAAACCTCCCAAAGTCTCTAAAAGAACTCACCTCACTCTCATGACTCCATGGCCAGCATTGCATGAAGGCCTGTGCCTGATCCAGTGACCCCTCCAGGAAATAGCTTCGATCATCAGGCGCATCCCTAGAGCTGGACTGGGGCCAGACTGTCTTCCCCGCCACACACCCTCCTGGCTTTGGGTGCTCCAAATAGATGATTCCCATCACCCACACGCTAGTGCAGTGGAGGGTCTAGGGCAAGCCTACCTCAAAGGGGAAAGGTGCTAGGGAGGGGCAGGGGTTGTTGCTGCCAGAATCCCCAGGGAGCCTGGCAAAAGCACATTGTACCATCCCTCCCGGTGTGGGCAAAGCGAATTATTCATTCACTGCAGCAACTACAGGAATATTACTCATGGGGCAGGGGATGGATTTCTAGTGAGTGAGATCTGGGGAATGACCCGGGAGTCGCCACGGGCAGGCATCCCCTCCGAGGAAATCTTGGGCTCATTTGGTGAAGAGACTCCTGGAAAGAGCAAATCATCCATGAGCCCTGATGGCAGGCAGCCTGTCCAAAAAAGATGGCTCACCGTCATTGTGGACAGGCTGCCCAATGCTCCCCGAGGCTCTGTGCTTCCTGAGAGCATTATCTGATTCCCCCCCTTGCCTTCATGCATCCGTGCTGCCGGGCCCACCCCAGGTGGGACTAAGAAGTCAGCGCAGACCGCACAGGTTAGGGACTCAGTCCCACAGGACTGCCCCCACTCCAGACGCCAGCAGCAAATGCGTCCCCAGGCCACCTGCACTTCTGCCCGTTCCCCTCAGGTTCACTAGAACGAGTCCCAGAACTTAGGAAAACACTGTACTCTGGACTACAGTTCAGTACAAAAGATACAAATGAACAGCCAGATGGAGAGGTACATAGGGCGAGGTCGGGAAGGGTCCCCGGGGGCAGGAGCCTCTGTCCCCATAGAGTCAGGGTGACCACCCTCCCTGCATGGGGATGTGTTCACCAGTCCAGAAGCTCCCTTAGTCTCCCTGTTTCAGAGTTTTTATTAAAGTTCCATTGTGCAGACACGACTGATTAAATCATCGACCTTACGTGATTAACTTAAGCTCCGGCCCCTTTCCATCCCCAGGTCAGGGGCTGGGGCTGCACGTTCCACAAGCTTGTTTTCTCTGGAGACAAGTCCCATCCCGAAGCTCTCTAGCCACCTCATTACCACAAACTCAGGTACAGTCAGAAGGGGCTCCTCATGAATAATACAAGATACTCCTACCACCAAATTCCGCAGGTTTTAGGAGCTCTGGGCCAGGAACCGGGACAAAGAGCAAATACATATTTTTCATTATACCACAGGTAAAGACTATTGCTCTTCCCAGTTTACAGACGGAGGGACCGAAGCACAGCGATTTTAAGTGACTTGCCTTAGTTACACAGCTCACTACAGCAAGCAGGATCTGAACCCAGGCAGCCCCCCTCAATTCCTCAGAAGGGAACCCTGAGGTCTGTCCACTTCAGAGGGCAGGGCGCACAGCCTCCCTGTTGGGAAAAGATTGTCATCTGATTCAGTAGTGTGCCCATAAACCACCAGTTCCCTGGGAACAAACAAAACCGTGATTGGGGCGCCTGGGTGGCTCAGTGGATTAGGCGTCTGCCTTCGGCTCACATCATGATCTCAGGGTCCTGGGATCCAGCCCCGCATCGGGCCCCTCATCGAGCCCCAGCATCGGGCTCCCTGATCAGTGGGGAGCCTGCTTCTCCCTCTCCTTCTGCCCCTCCCCTCCCTGCTCATACTCTCTCTTTTTCTCAAATAAATAAATAAAACCTTAAAAAAAAAAAACCTGATTGATAGCCACTTTCCATGGTGTAAATAATCCCACTGAGGCTGGTTTCCAGCTGCCCGCCTGACCTCGCTGGGAAGAAAAGCGCTCAGTGGACCGGTTATGGGGCCTGAGGTTATGGGGAAGCAGTCGCTTCTGGGTCCGATTCCAACACCAACACTCCAAGCAGGCAGAAGCTTCCTATTATCATGTGACTTTAACTCCCACCCAAGGATGAGTAGACAGCCAGTTGTCTCTCTGGTTTAATGGGCAGAGCCTTGCTGGAGCCCTTCTCACTGATGGGGGGCAGCCCACCCAGGGCCCCAGCTTGTGTGTTAAACTCTCTACACACAGCACCCTGTATTGTACCCTAAGGCCACAGCTCCTGTTCTGACATTAGAAAGTCCCCAAACCCTTGGGCGCCTGGGTGGCTCAGTTGGTTAAGCGACTGCCTTCGGCTCAGGTCATGATCCTGGAGTCCCGGGATCGAGTCCCGCATCAGGCTCCCTGCTCGGCGGGGAGTCTGCTTCTCCCTCTGACCCTCTTCCCTCTCGTGCTCTCTATCTCTCAAATAAATAAATAAAATCTTGAAAAAAAAAAAAAGAAAGTCCCCAAACCCTGACCTCAGTTTATACTCACTCCAATCCCCACCTCCATTCCTGGTTAAGTTTACCCTTCTAGAACCTGGAGACCTCCCATTCTTCGTAGTGCTGCTATGTACTTAATCCATCGTGAACAGTATTTAATCAGGCATTTCTGTGTGTTTGAAGGACGTATGTGTATGTGTGTGTGAGTTTGTATGGGCTGGGATAACAGACCTCCCACTCACTGAGCTGAGCCCACCCTATTGCTTAGGGTGATTTTTCTTTTTATTATTTACTTATTTAATTCTTTTTTTTTTTTTAAGATTTCATTTACTTATTTATTTAGAGAGAGTGTGTGAGTGGGGAGAGGGAGAGAATCTCAAGCAGACTCCCCGCTGAGCACAGAGGGGGGGCCCCCCCGAGGGGGCGATGTTGATCCCACGACCTTGAGATCATGACCTTAACCATCTAGGCACCCCTTTAATTATTTCTTATATGCATTTTCTGATTTTGTTACAGTAATCGGAATAGCTGCTGGGCAATTCGCTTTATTTCCTGTCAGCTTGTCCCAGTGGACCCCCTTTTACAAATCTGTGCTCACCCTACAGTGGATCTTGTCTGTTTCCCACCCAGCATGCATCTGCCTTCTTTTGGTCACAGCACTCCAAAATCCTTTGGAGACCCATTCAGCTACCCCCTGTAGGCCTTCTGTGTCAGTGGGGCTGACCCCATGCCCCCACGCCAGGCCTGACCAACCAGGATGTGGTCCCTGGGCTGTAGAGATGGCTTCAGGAGCCCACAAGGCTCAGGCCTGAGGTTTGCCGAAACCACATAACTAGCAGTGCCACTCATGGGCCCAGAGCCGTTGGCAGCCTGAGCGTGGGTGACATCTTCCTACAAATCTAGCACCAGCCAAGAGAGGGAGAGACAGAAGATTGAATCTTGACATTACCATTGAGCCCTGCTGTAAGGAAGTTTTCCCTTAGACTTTATAGGTTTCTGTGAACGAATTCATCTTTTATTATCTTTTTTTTAAGATTTTTTATTTATTTTTTAACAGAGAGAGAGACAGTGAGAGAGGGAACACAAGCAGGGAGAGTGGGAGGGGGAGAAGCAGGCTTCCCGCTGAGCAGGGAGCCCGATGCGGGACTTGATCGCAGGACCCTCGGATCATGACCCAAGCTGAAGGCAGATGCTTAACGACTGAGCCACCCAGGCGCCCTGTTTTTTATTATCTTGAGCTTAAGCTGGTCTGAGCTGGGTTTCCATCGCTTCCAGCTGAGAGTGTTGGCAAATACACATAGTGTGTGTGCAATAATGTATCCTGCTTTAAAAAAATAATAATATTATTATTTTTTTAAAGATTTTATTTGTTTATTTGACAGAGAGACACACAGCCAGAGAGGGAACACAAGCAGGGGGGGAGTGGAGAGGGAGAAGCAGGCTTTCCGCTGAGCGGGGAGCCCGATGCGGGGCTCGATCCCAGGACCCCGGGACCATGACCTGAGCCGAAGGCAGACGCTTAATGACTGAGCCACCCAGGCGCCCCTAGAGTAATATTATTTAACAAGCATTTTCCCATGTGTCTACGTAGGCTTTATAGAGCTGCATAATGGTCCATAAACTGGGTTTACCCTAAAATGAGAACATTTATTTATTTAATAGGAGAGTCATTGTCCCCACAAAACAGGAATGGGAAAGAAATCAAAGGCAACATTTTTTTAAGATTTTATTTATTTACTTAGAGAGAGAGAGAGAGGTAGCACAAAGGGAGGGGCATAGGCAGAGGGAGAGAATCTCAAGCAGACTCCCGCTGAGGGTGGAGCCCAATGCCGGGCTTAATCCCAGGACCCTGAGATCATAATCTGAGCTGAAACCAAGAGTCAGACACTTAACCAACTGCTTCACCCAAGCACCCCCAAAGGCAACATTTTTGAGACTAATTTCCTCCTCTGAACACTACTTAATAAAGGCAAGAAACTTTTGAACTAAATTAAGGGAAAAAACTCTTAGATATATTTTCTCTCATATATGTGTGCATATATATATATATAAAACGTATAACAGAATAGATATACATTATGTTCTACACCAATACTGTTTAATATTTATGTGTAAATAAATAATATTTTGTCTCCAAATTTTAACAATCCTCTCTGCTCTTTGATATTAATCCCTCTTTATTCTACTTTATCTTTCCTTGCCACAGATTTTTAAGGCATGCGAGATTTAACAAGGGTAAGTGTAGAGTACAACATATAGAATCAAAAGTCGAACTCCAATAGAAGGGGAGGACAAGGAGCTTGGCTTCAGTGCCTATGAAGAGTGCCTGATGGTCTTAGTGGGCCACAGGCTGTCCGTGAGGTGACATCAAGAACTTACTAACTAGAGGCAGGGCAGTGTGGGTAGGAGGGGGGCGGTCTGCGCTCTGGAGTCAGGCAGATGTCATTGAACTTGCTGTGCACTTAGTTTCTCTAAGTCTTAGAGACTTTTCTAAGTCTTCTAAATTCCACTCAATACTTTCCGTTGCATCTCATTGGCCAGAAGCCCTTACCTAGCTGTGGGGAAGGCTGGGCAATGCATTCTTTTGGCTGAGCACAGAGCCACCCTGAATAAAATCGGGATTGTGATACTAAAGAAGAAGGGCGGGCGCCTGGGTGGCTCAGTTGGTTGGGCAACTGCCTTCGGCTCAGGTCATGATCCTGGAGTCCCGGGATCGAGTCCCACATCGGGCTCCCTGCTCAGCAGGGAGTCTGCTTCTCCCTCTGACCCTCTCCCCTCTCATGCTCTCTCTCTCTCTCATTCTCTCTCTCAAATAAATAAATAAAATCTTTTAAAAAAATTAAAAAAATAAAGAAGAAGAGCTACTAGGATGAGCAACTAGCAGTCTTCTCCGTGATTCTTTCACAAGGTACAAGTTTGTACCAATTGGTCCCTCCCACCCCAACAAACTTGGGTTTGCCCTCTGCCCTCTGACATGGCAGCAGGGTATTCATGGGGAGAAGAGATGTTTAATGAGCATTGAGCTTGGTGCTCGGGAGAAGTGACACCAGCTGTTACCTACTGATGTGATGCGATTATGGTAGGCCTCTGTCTGCGTTATCCAGTGTCCTTACCATGCCAGTCACCCAGTATTTTTACTACCCCACCCTGGATATAAGAGGGCATTGGAGAGAGCTCGCGTTCCAAAGCCAGACAAAGTGCAAAACCCAGATTCAGTGCTTATTAATAGTGTGACTTTGCATGAGTCACTTATTCCCTCTGAGGCTCAGCTTCCCTGTGTGTAAAATGGGTATAATAATAGATGTATACTTACCTCAGACAACAGAGTAGTTGGAAGGATTAGATGCTTGGCTCCTTCTCCTGCCTGTGGCAAGTAGTCACTAACTGTTAGCTGAGAACCCCAGGGGAAGCACAGGTGTGACAGGCTGCAACCTTCCACTCCAGCCCCCTTCTTAACAAAGAGCATAAGCCCCAGTAGGCTTGCCTGGGTCTGCACTTTTCCAAAGGATACTCAGGGGTTTATAGCTCTCTTGTTATTCTCCACCCTTCCAGCCCAGTTGAGCAGGGAGAAAATGGGGATTGTTCATCCTGTGTCACAAGGAGTGCAGGGAATAGAGCCTGGGATGTGTGGCTGTGCCCGGCATTCATGCTCGGGTCCCACACTGGCCACCCCTCAGACACGAGACACGGATCTGCATTCCCCCCTCACCTGCCCTCGCACTCAGGGAGTGACAGCTCTGATGATATCAAATCTTTGCTTGGCCACACGCTTAGTGTTCCCTTCCAAACACACGTGCTCAAAATGGAAAGATATTCCCCCCAAAAAAGGTGGGGGGCACCCGGTTGGCTCAGTGATTAAGCTTCCAACTCTTGGTTTCAGCTCAGGTCCTGAACTCAGGCTCATGAGATCAAGCCCTGCATGGGGCCCCGTGCTCAGTACTGAGTCTGCTTGTCCCTCTCCCTCCCCCTCTGCTCTGCCCCTGGCGTTCTCTCTCTCTCAAATAAATAAATAAAACATTTTTAAAAATGGAAAGCTATTCCATGCTTATGGAATGGAAGAATTAATATTGTTAAAATGGGGGCGCCTGGTTGCCTTAGTCGGTAGAGCATGTGACTCTTGATCTTGGGGTCCTGAGTTCAAGCCCCACATTGGGCCTAGAGTTTACTAAAAAATGTCCATACAGCCCAAAACAATGTACAGATTCAATGTAATCCTTATCAAAATAATCAACAGTGTTTTCCACAGAACTAGAACCAATAATAGTAAAATTTGTATGGAACCACAGAGGACCCTGCATAGCCAAAGCAATCTTGAGAAAGAAGAACAAAGCTGGGGACGCCTGGGTGGCTCAACTGGTTAAGCATCTATCTTCCGCTCAGGTCATGATCCCAGGGTCCTGGGATCGAGTCCCACATCAGGCTCCTTGCTCAGCAGGAACCTGCTTCTCCCTCTACTTGTGTGCTCTCTCTCTCTCTCTCTCTGACAGATAAATAAATAAAATCTTTTAAAAAAAATAAAATTAAAAAAAAAATAGAACAAAGTGGGAGGCATCACAATCCCAGGTTTCAAGATACACAACAAAGCTATAGTAATCAAAACAGTGTGGTACTGGCAGGAAAATAGACACATAGATCAATGGAACAGAACAGAGATCCCAGAAATAAATACACGCTTATATGGTCACTTAATCTACAACAAAGGAGGCAAGAATATACAATGGGGAAAAGACAGTCTCTTTAAAAAATGGTGCTGGGAAAACTGGACAGCTACATGCAAAAGAATGAAACTGGGCCACTTTTTAACACAATATACAAAAATAAACTCAAAATGGATGTAAAGACCTAAATGTGAGACCTGAAACCATGAAAATCCAAACACCCTTTCTCATTCTTTGCAGTATGTATAGACTGAGAATTTTCCAGATCTTTACATTCTAGTTCCCTTTATCTTAATAATTCCATCTTTAAGTCATTTCCCTCCTTTCGAATTCTACTATAGTCAGAGGAGCCAAGCCACTCCTTCAACATTTTGCCTAGAAATTCCTTCAATTTCTGCTCTTTCCGTGCCACCGTAATGGTGCGCATGAGTGTCCTGGCAAATGCTCTCAGGAGCATTAATGATGCTGAAAAGAGAGGTAAACGCCAGGTTCTAATTAGGCCATGCTCCAAAGTCATCGTCTGGTTTCTAACTGTAATGATGAAGCGTGGTTACGTGGGCAAATTTGAAGTCACTGATGATCACAGTGCTGGGAAAATTGTTGTGAACCTCAGGGACAGGTTAAACAAGTGTGGAGTGATGAGCCCCAGATTTGATGTATAACTCAAAGATCTAGAAAAATGGTAGAATAATCTGCTTCCATCCCACCAGTTGCACGGACAACCCCAGCTGGCATCATGGACCATCAAGAAGCAAGACGAAGGTGGCGCCTGGGTGGCTCAGTCGTTAAACATCTGCCTTCGGCTCAGGTCGTGATCCCGGGGTCCTGGGATGGAGCCCCGCATCGGGCTCCCTGCTCCGCGGGAAGCCTGCTTCTCCCTCTCCCACTCCCACTGCTTGTGTCCCCTCTCTCGCTGTGTCTCTCTCTGTCAAATAAATAAACAAAATCTTTTTTTTTCTTTTTTTTTTCAAAATTTTATTTATTTATTTGAGAGAGAGAGAGAGAATGAGAGATAGAGAGCATGAGAGGGAAGAGGGTCAGAGGGAGAAGCAGACCCCCTGCTGAGCAGGGAGTCCGATGTGGGACTCGATCCTGGGACTCCAGGATCATGACCTGAGCCGAAGGCAGTCGCTTAACCAACTGAGCCACCCAGGCGCCCAATAAACAAAATCTTTAAAAAAAAAAGAAGAAGAAGAAGCAAGACGAAAACACACAGGAGGGAAACTCTTGGGATTCTTTTTCTAGGGATGTAAATCATACGTGCAAATGAAATGCCTCAGTGGAAAAAAAAAAGAAAGAAATTGCTTCAACTTCTTCCAATTTCATCACTCACAAGTTCTACCTTCTGGAAAACACTAGAACACTAACCCAATTCAGCTAAGTTTTTTGCCACTTTATAAAAAACAAGGATCCCCTTTCCTCCCGTTTCCAATAACATGTTCCTTGTTTCCATCTGAGACCATGTCAAATTGCCTTTACCATCCATATTTCTCCCAACGTTCAGTTCAGGATTACTAGGGGTTCTCTGAGAAAACTGAGGCTTTCTCTCCAGAGCTCTCCTTCCCTTCCTAGCTCTCTCCAGAATCACCCCTAAAGATCTTCAGTGAAGGCTTTTCTGAGCATTTAGCTCAGACACTTCCAGCTTCTGCCTGATATGCAGTTCCAGAGCTGTGTCCACATGCTTGGGTGTTTGCTACAGCAGCCCCCCACTTCTCAGCACATATTTCTACCTTAGTCTATTTGGGCTGCTATTACAGAACACTATGGACTGCGGCAAGTTCGGGGAGTGTTTATAAATAACAGAATTTTTTTTTAAGCAAACTACGCCCACCGTGGGGCTCAAACTCACGACCCTAAGATCAAGAGTCACACACTCCACTGACTGAGCCAGCCAGGCGCCCCAACAGAAATTTATTTCTCACAGCTCTGGAAGCTGGGACGTCGAAGATCAAGGCACACGTGGTTCAGTGTCTGGTGAGGACCTGCTTCCTGGTTTGCAGATTGCCCACTTCCGGCTGCATTTCACACGGAGGAGAGGGCCAAACAACTCTTTTTATAAGGGCATCAATGCTGTTCATAAGGGCCCCATCCTCATGACCTAAGCACCTCCAAACACTATTACATTGGGGATTAGCTTTCAACCTATGAATTTTGGGGTGGGACACAAACATTCAGTCTATGGCACCCCACAACCAAAGATGGTTGTTGTTAGGAGCTGCCCAGGCCCTTAGCCTTCACTTATTTCTACTCACCACTGCTGGGAGACTGACTCTCTGCAGAAAGACTGGCCAAATCCGGGTCCTGAGTCACCAGCGTGGACAGAGAGGTGCTGGGACTGGCTCCTTCTAACACTTAGATAAATGTTAATAAATAACATGTTAATAACTAAATGTTAATCAATAAACCGCCATCCCTGTCCCATGATTCCTGTGGGCACCAGCACCTGCACCTATATACACACCTCCACTTTTTCCCCAAAACATTTGCCGTTCTCTCCTTATGCACCTGCAAACTCAGCTATAAATTATCCCGCAGGGTGCCTGCGTGGCCCAGTTGGTTGAGCGCCTGCCTTTGGCTCAGGTCATGATCCCGGGGTCCTGGGGTCAAGCCTCCTCCGCGGGGAGCCTGCTTTTCCCTCTCCCCGCTGCTGGTGCGCGCTCTCTCTCTTTCTCTTTCTCAAATAAATACATAAAATCTTTAATGAATAAAGTGTCCTGTGGACTCAGCCCACTAGGGCAGCCCCTCCAGAGGCCCAGGACCCTCTCTGCACAAGTACCTATGACATTGCTAACTGCCTACAGCCCCCTGTGACCTCACTGCCTGAGCAAGGCGAGCAGGGCCCTGGCCACTCCCTCAGCCAGCACAAGTGACAGAGGGCCCAGATGACCAGCAGACCCTCGGGAGAGGCCAGAGCTGCCAGCATCTGCACACATGGCGACAGCAGATCCATGGACAGTCTTACAGAGGGGTCCCAAAATCAGGTCCCCCTCCCTGCAGATGCCCCAGTGGCTAACGGTGCTGTAGCGTCATCCGTCGAGTCGGTGACCCCCAAACCCACATCAGCATCTGGGGACAAGGACAGGCCTGAAGCTGCTGAAAGACACAGCCAGGAGCCCACGGAGGCCTCAAATGCTCAGCAGACGTCCACGAGCCCCCAGGACGCAGCACGCGACGGACAGGTGCAAGATTCCGGCGTGACTCAGGGTCCCCTTCAGACCTCCCTGCGTGACTCCCTGGCGGAAGAGACACCACAAATGGCAGGTATCCCGGGCGGAGAACGAGAGTCAGCTCCGACTACCCCAAGGGCTAAGGTACAGTTCCGCAGTAGCGTGGATGCTCAGCCCATCGTGAGCGCTGCAGACGCGGATGGTGAGCTTGGCAGTCAGGCCACCAGCACCACCGAAGCTGTTGAGGAGGGACCGGAGGGTCCGGAGGCCTTGAACGCGGACACTGAAGCTTTGCCGGGAGCCGGGTGCCGGCGAGTGACTGCGGGGGATTTGGAGGACCGCTCGGGGGACCTGCAGGCTCAGCAGTTGCCTCCTTCCCCAGGAGGCAGCACCCTGCCCTCACCTGGCCCCCAAGAGATGGCCCTGGGGAGGAGGTCCCTAGACTCCAGGCTTTACGAGGCCAACGAGGAGAACACCTACATGCGCTCCATGACCAGCTTGCTGGGCGGAGGTGAGGGGTCCATCAGCTCCCTGGCAGACATCTTAGTGTGGTCTGAGACCACCATGGGCATGGCCACGGCACTCCTGGCCTCCGGCCACAGCTCCGTGACCGACCTGCTGCACAGCACCGGGCCCAGCCTACGCTCCGTCTCCAGCATCCTGGGGAGCACCTTCTCCTCTGGGCTGATGGCCGGGACTAGCTCGGCCCTGCGCTTCGTCACCCACATGCTGGAGAGGGTAGAGCAGAGGACTGTAGAGGGTGTCCGCTCGGCCATGCGCTACCTGACCAGCCACCTTCTTCCCGGCCAGGCCCACGCCGGCCCAAACTCTGAGTAGACCCCATGGAGGGAGCCCCGAAGGACTGGCTCAGCAGCCTCTGAGAGCCCTGGCACCCTCACGCCAGCTCCCTTGCCCACCCCTGCCCTAGCTCGCTCTCCCCAGATCGGGCAATAAAGCACTGGCAAGTGTTTATTTTCTAAGCTCAGAAAGGTGTCCCCTGAGGGCTTCTCGGGTTGTCCCATTCAGGGGGCCTGGGGGATGAAGTCCAGAAAGAGCAGAGCCTGGCAGGATGGGGGAGCCAGGCGCGGGGGCCTCAGACCTGCAAACATTGACCCTGGCTGCACCTCCAACCAGGTGAGTGGGTTCCTCATGCAGTGAGACCTGCCCCTTCCCCAGGGCCTGCGGGTGTAGCGGGCTGGAGGGGCCCCTGCTGGTGTAACGGGCTGGGGGGGCCCTGCTGGTATAATGCGCTGGGGGGCCCTGCTGGCATAACAGGCTGGGGGAGCCCTTCTGGCGTAACGGGCTGGGGGGGCCCTGCTGGCATAACAGGTTGGGGGGGCCTGCTGGCGTAATGGGCTGGGGGGGGCCCCTGCCAGTGTCGCGGGCTGGGACCCCCCCAGTGAGGTTGAGAAGATGGAGCCAGACCAATGTGGGTTCACACCCGGGTGCTGCTCCTGATCGTGGGCAAGTCGCTTCACCCTCTGAACCTCCGATTCTCACCCATAGGACAGAGAAGGAATCCACACCATGAGGATGTTTAGGAGACATAAGGGAAACAATGCAGGGCCTAACTCGCGTCTGGCACCTAACGAGCTCACGCACTACAGCTGCCATTACTCTCCTCCAGCAGGCTGGGCACGGGGCAGGAGCAGGATCTAGGTAAGGGGACCAACGGTCCCTGTTTGCCTGAGACTAAGAGGGTTCCTGGGATGTGGGACTTTCAGATGTAAAACCAGAAAATCCCGGGCAAACTGCAACGAGTTGGTCACCCTAGACCCAGGTTTCTTTATAAATGTCTACGTTGGAAAGGGAGCACCTGGCAGGATAGGGTGCCACGGCAGTCACGTGACTTGGTGAGCAGAGCTCCAGCGGCACATCAACCCCACTCCTGGCCCTGGCCCGGTGACTGAATGCGGGTCCCACCCCGCACACCTCCCTGCCTCAGCCCTGGCCGTGGTTTTGTTCATTCAGCCATCGGCAAGTGGGAGCCCTGGTCAGAAACCGGCCACCAATGTATTTGTTTGCCCCATACAGTGTTTCTCAAATTGTGTATTAATTGCTAATTCTTAAAAACCAGGAGATTTTAACATAAAATTATGGATTAAAAAAAATAGATTTCTGTGTCTCCTAAAAAACCTTGAGGCCTTGGGGCGCCTGGGTGGCTCAGTCGTTAAGTGTCTGCCTTCGGCTCAGGTCATGGTCCCAGGGTCCTGGGATCGAGCCCCACATCGGGCTCCCTGCTCCACGGGAAGCCTCCTTCTCCCTCTCCCGCTCCCCCTGCTTGTGTTCCCTCTCTTGCTGTGTCTCTCTCTGTCAAATAAATAAAATCTTAAAAAAAAAAAAAAAACCTTGGGGCCTTCTTTCTTCAGAGGAACTGCAGTCGAGCTGCCCTCTTTAAAGGGACGCACCTGGCCTGCATAGTGATTGATGTCACCTGCCCAGCCCCAGTGGCACACCTTTGCCACCCTTACCCTGCAGGTGGCTCCCATGAGGAAGTGGGATGCCAGGCCCCAAGGGGGTGCAAAGACAGAACAGGTATGTCTACCCCCTCTTCTTGAGGAGCTGCCACTTTGTGTCAGTGAGACATGAACCGTCCTCACCGTGAAAGCAAAACCCTCAGAGGAGGAAGACTGTCCATTCAGATCCCAGGAATCGGGGTCTTCCGGAGGATCACCTGAGTCAGGTGTGGAAAGACAGGAGCTGTGGTGTCCCCCCAGAGGAGGGGACAGGACCACCAGCTGAGGCAGGCCTGAGGAGCGCTTAGCTGGGGAGGGCGGCTGCCAGCTCAACCTGACCTGAGCCCAGAACAGAGGACAGGTGACCACGTTGCCAGCGTAGACCCCAAATGCTTTCCGCAAATGATTTTTGAACCGGGTAAGTGCCACTCTCTGGCAGGCACGGCCCCAGAGAGACTGCCAAGGTGAAGGTGAAGGAAGGGACGGAAACCAAACTCAAACCAGAGCAGCTGAAGGGATCAGCCGAAAAGCACAACTGCCAAGTGGGCGTGGCTGGATCCGGGGCTCAGCCTTGTCCTCAGGGCTCTGTCTGTCTCTCCAGCTCTGGCCCCACCACCCCCCTGCTGGCTCCATTCCCAGGCAGCTCAGCCACCTTCCTGCAAAGACAGAGGCCCTTGTTCTCACTAGCTCTGGTAGGTTTGGCCCCGTTGCTCTCTCTCCTGCACCCATCACTGAGGCTTTGGAAATGAAATACCTCATTACCTGGCCTGGGCCTCACTCTTACCTGGGGGGGGGGGGGGGGGGGGCGCCAGGGTCAGCCCAGCAGTGGGGGGGTTCCCACAGGAAGAGCTGCTGGATCCACACCATTTTGCATGTTAAAGCGTCATAAAAGAGTGGCCTTGGGGGCCGGGCTGCCTCGAATCCTGCTCTACCTCCTACTAACTGTGTGTGTTATTTTCAATCTCCCTATGCCTCAGTTTCCTTATCCGTAAAATGTCAGTAATAGCGGTACCTACTGCATCGTGCGGCTGTGAGGGTGACATGAGTTAATGAGTCAAGTTCATAGAACAGTGCCTGGCATGCACTTGAGTGCTCCCTGTTAGCAATCACCATGTTTATAGTGACAGACGCTTCGGTGGACTCCTTGCCAAGGACTGACTTTCCCTACTTGCTCCAGCCTTCCTCTGTGCTGCGGAATCACAGTCATGTGGGCAAATCCTCCTGGCAACACATCTTCTCTGTAGGTGGGCCCCCCCCAGGCATCCAGGTGCTAGTGCACCCCGGGGAGAAGGGCAGACCTGCACGCTGGGGGCTGAGGGTGAGACACGGACAGAAGTGGGAGCACCCCAGCTCTGGATAAAACGCCAGAGGGAGAAAGGAAAGACCCAACACAGGAACCTGGGGAAAGGCCCCAGTCCCGGGGCAGAGGGAAGCAGTCAGCAGGTGGGAGTGCTCACGCCCATCACGGGCATGGGGGCCACAGTGCAGGCTGCACATGGAACAAGGGGAGCACTATTGGGGAGGAACAAGGTGGTGGGTGAGGGGGAAAAGAATGAGCAGGATAGGGGCGCCTGCGTGGCTCGGTCGTTAAGCATCTGCCTTGGGCTCAGGTCATGGTCCCAGGGTCCTGGGATCGAGCCCCGCATCGGGCTCCCTGCTCAGCGGGAGGCCTGCTTCTCCCTCCCCCACTCCCCCTGCTCCTCCCTCCCCCACTCCCCCTGCTCGTGTTCCCTCTCTCCTGCCTCTCTCTCTCTCTGTCAAATAAATAAATAAAATCTTTAAAAAAAGAATGAGCAGGATAACGGGGTGGCTGTAGGGAGGGTACTCTTTGGTGTTGAGAATCGAGGCACAGTTATTAATTCACCCCCACAAAGCTGGCAGCTCCTCACTCTTCTCATTGAGGTGCTAGGATTAACACCTGACAACCACCCACACTCCTCCAGAATCAACAACCAGCTTTTTGGGTGTGTGTTGTGCCACTGAGAGATGGGCCTGTAAGCAGAGGTTCTGCGTAAAGAGACTTTTAGGCCGGGCTGAGCGCCAGCAGGGCGGGCGCGGCATCCTAGCATCTGAGCCCGGCTGCGGCTTGGCTAAGGGGAGGGCACCCACAACTCCTGGCAGACAGCAGGAGGGACACTGTAGCCTCCCTCCCCCCGTGGCGCGGTGAAGGACTCGCGCCCCCGACTGTCCGTGGAGAGCCTTCAGTGCGGGCCCCTTCAGAGACGTCAGCCAGTTCTGTGCCCGGGGCTCAGGCCTGACCGTCCAACCCCAGCTCCAGAGTGCCCGTGGCGCTGGCCCGGGTGACCTGGGTTTGCACTGCAGACTCCATTCCCGTCTGCCCCCTCGGCCTCAGAGCCTGTGTTCCAGAGACCCCAACCTGTGTCCAGAGGCTGCTGATTTTTTCCATCTGAGATGTGTGTGTGTTTGTGGGGAGGTGGTGGGGACCTCCAAATTCAAACTGTGGAAAAAGTTCAAAGATCTTTTTAAAGGGGGGCAGCTGCGTCTCAGTCATTAAGCGTCTGCCTTTGGCTTAGGTCATGGTCCCAGGGTCCTGGGATCAGGCCCTGCGTGGGGCTCCCTGCTCCGCGGGAAGCCTGCTTCTCCCTCTCCCACTCCCCCTGCTTGTGTTCCCTCTCTCGCTGTCTCTCTCTGTCAGATAAATAAATAAAATCTTTTAAAAAAAAGAAAAAAAAAAAGGATCTTTTTAAAGAGAAGCTTCGTTGTAAGAAAAGTTAGAAACTTGACACCATCTTGAGAATGGTTGAAAAAAAGGGGGGGGCTAAATCTTTGTGAGTGTTTTTACTTGTTTTCTAAGGACAATGTTATTGTTTAGTCTACAGCCACTTGCCTAATTGGTTAAAGTCACCATGTGATTGTGGTCAAGTTTATAGGTTTGCCTGGGTGAGGCACAGATTCTATCCAGGAAAGAGTGTCTCCAAAAGAAAGTGACCACAGATAAGGGCAGTCCCCCACCCCACCCTCCCAGGAGGAGGTAACAAAGTGTAAAGGTAAACTAAGGTCTTAAGTACACATTTACATACTTAAATGAAAGACTGGATCCTCTCTGGGCTGAAAGAAAGCCCCATTTCCGAGACTGCCTGGATCGCGAGCTTCCGGTCCCTAAGAGTGGAGGGTGCGCCCTCTGCTGGAAAGAAGGCCGCACTGGCCTGCATGCAGGCGGAGGGCAGGAGGCCAAAGCCCAGCCTTGAGGATGTTTGCCTGGGGATTTGAGACACACCCGCGAGAGAAATGGGGGTTAAAAGAAATTTTTCTTTACTCGCAACACTTCTGACACCAAATGTGTGGGTTTTCCACACCAAGCAATTCTCCAATTCTCTGCAGACACCCACCTGGGTATCCTACAATTCAATTCTGGCACTAACTTGAGTTAGCACAAAGCCTACAGGTTAAGGGCTCGGTCCCACCAGATTGCCCCACTTCAGGTCCCTGGGTACCCAGTCTTCTCACTAACGTGGCTACAAATCAGGGATTCCCACGACTCTCTCCTCAGGTTGGATAATTGGCTGCAAGAACTCATAGAACTCAGGAAAACACTATCACTGATTTATTATAAAGGATATTATAGATGATACAAATGAACAAGCAGATGAAGCGGTACATAGGGCAAGGTCCAGAAGGGTCTCAAGCACAGGAGTTTCTGTCTCCCAGGAGTTGGAGTGTGCCGCCCTCCCGACACGTGGATACTTTCACCAACCCAGAAACTCTTCAAACTCTCATGTTTAGGGTTTTTATGGAAGTTCCATTATATAGCCATGGCTGATTAAATCATTGGTCATTAAGCCAATCTCCAGCCCCTCTCCTCTCCCCAGAGGTGGAGAGGGTGCTGAAAGTTTCAACTTTCTAATCCCAGGGTTGGCTCCTTGGTTTCTAGCCCCCCCATCTCCAAGAGTCAATTACACAAACTCAGGTATCTTTGAAAGGGGCATATTATTTTTTTAAAAGATTTTATTTATTTATTTGACAGAGAGAGACACAGTGAGAGAGGGAACACAAGCAGGGGGAGTGAGAGAGGGAGAAGCAGGCTCCCGGCTGAGCAGGGAGCCCGATGCTGGGCTCGATCCCAGGACCCTGGGATCATGACCTGAGCCGAAGGCAGACGCTTAACGACTGAGCCACCCAGGTGCCCCTGAAAGGGGCATATTATAAATAACAAAAGATGCTCCTCTCACCCCCCTCACCACTCAAGAAATTCTAAGAGTTTTAGAAGTTCTGTGCCAGGAAGCAGGCAGGGGTGAGGCAGAGACCAAATATATATTTCTTATTATTCAGAATAAACTCTAAGATACCACCAATGGAGTTGACTCAGGGTGGCTCTCTGCTCAGCGGGGAGTCTGCATCTCCCTCTCCCTCTGCCCCTCCCCGCCTCTCCCCCACCCGCTCATGCACACACTCTCTCAAATAAAAAAAAACTAAAAAAAAAAAAAAAAAAGGAAACAAGGGCAGGAGGGCAGAGCAGGATAGACCCTCCCACTGGGGTCACCCCTAGAGCCCAAGATCATGACAATGTTTGTAGAATAGCACTCCAGTCAGCACTCCAAGACCTCAGAAGGCCCAGAGTCCTCCAGAAAGGATCCCACCATGGCAAAGGCCTTCAAGGGTGGGGCCTGGCTGGGGGGTTCTCTGGAAGAGCAGTACCCACTGAACCTGTGCCTGAAAGCAGGCTGCTCCCCCACCCCCCGGGGGAGTCCTCAAGTGGACCCTGAGGTACTAGATGAAGTTTCTACTGATTTCCAGGCTCAGTTTCCTCATCTATAAAATAGGTCTCCCATTTGCCTCACAGGGATGCTATCACCAATAATGCACACTTTTTAAAATAGCATTTAACGGTGGGCATGTGACAAGTGTCAGTTTTCTCCCTTCCTTGAGGTTTTCTGCATTGCCTGTGTATTGATCAGGAGTCTTTTAATTTGGAAGTGACAGAAATCAGCCTGAAACCAGACTGATGGGCCAGACTGATGGGCCAGGCAGAGAAGGGCTAGGAAGAACTGGCTTTGGAGATGCCTGGGATCAGGGCAATTCTGCCTCTTCTCCAGGCTTCTGTTCCTTGTAGGGAATGTGGCTCCTGAAGGCTCCAGTCCCACAAGCTTGCACTTCCAAGACTAAGAGGAAAGATCTCTGTTTCCCTGCTCCTACCTGATAACTCTCAGGGGGAAGTGCTCTGGTTGGACCAGCCTGGATCACATGTTGGAAAGGCCTTCCTCATCCAGAGTTCCTGGCACCTCCCTGAGCAGGTGGCTCTTGGCACCCTGAGCTGTGTCCCTCCCAGAGAGGAGAAGGAGGCAGTTAAGGAAGCCTGTCCCCTCTTGGCTTTCCTTTGTCCTCACTGCAGGTGGCCCTGCTCTAACCGCCCCCTGCAACTCAATGGGGGCCTTCAGATAAAAATCCACCTTTCCCACCAGTCTGTAAATGTTCTACCCACAGTCAGAAGCTTCCTTTGACCATGTACTTTGGAAAGATCTGAGGCATTCTTAAGTGTACTCCCTCTAACTCCATGAATTAAAAAATATTCCTCTGCATCTCTGATTTTTAGATATCAACCAATGAGGAAATAGGATTCACTTAAAACCCCTGGTTTGGCCTCTCTGACCACCTGTATTTTATTAGTACTTGTCAAAATACAGTTTCTGGTGAGGAAAAGCACCTCCCACAGATGGCCTCCACCACACTGAACTTGAACAAGATAAGCAAGGTCCTCTAGCAAGAGGAGGAAGTTAGGGTTACCCCTGACCAAAGATGGGTATGTTGAGGCAGACCAGGGCAGGGCATGATGGCAGATCACTGCCGGCCCCTGCATAGTTCTGGGCTTTGGGATTCCTCATGTAATGATCGGCTGTGGTATGAAACAGAGATGGGAGGGAGACAGAGCAGCCCAAGAACAAGGCCCACGCCAGAAACTCGGCGAGGCGCTCGGCAGGCCCCTCCCTCCCCACGCCCCTCACCCAGAGGTGGCCTGGTCAGACTGCAGCCAGGGCAAGGAGGTGAATGGCACAGCGCAGACACCAGGGGAAGGCACAGGAGTGGAGGAGCGAACCAGGGATGGGAGCCGAGTGGCGTGAGCAGGGCCCGGTGTCTCCTCCCCCAAGGCAGGTGGCCAAGCGAGGCAGAGATTTCCTGGGCGACCCGGAGGGGAGGGGAATGAAAACGCCCCCGTCCGGCCACCTGCTCCTCGTTGCCAGAGCAGGAGCCCAGGTTGGGGCCTGGTGAGAAACGAGACTGGAACGGAAAACTGGGGCAGTCAGACCGGGGTGACGGCAAACAAAGACCTCTCTCCGGGAGAGAAACGCCGGCTGGCCGGGGGTCGCGCTCAGGCCGCGCGGGACCCTCGCCGGCCGCCCGAGGCCAGGCGGCGCAGCTTTCTCGGCTGGGGTCGGCCCCCTTCCGCCGGAGCTGGGGGCTGGAGAACGGGGGGGGGGGGGGGGGGACACAGCTCCGAGGCGGGGCCGAGGGCGCGGCCCGGCGGGCGAGGGGCGGTGAGGACAGCCCCCGCCCCGCCCCGCCGTGTCCCTGGCGACCGAGACCTCAGCGCCAGGGCGGGGGCCGCGCGAGGGTGAGTCTACGCCGGTTGCTACGCAACGGCCGGGTGACGTCAGGCGATTGAGTTTGGTTCCCAAGGTAACTGGCCGGGCAGCTGGGCCGGGAACTATTTGTGTCTGTCCCCAGAGGGGCTGCGGAGCCTCCGGGGTCTGGCGCAGCGGAGGAAATGCGCTGCTGGCCCGCGGGCAGGCGGGGGGACAGAACACAGAGGCCCTTTCAGCTCTCGGAGGCCGGCGACCCAGGCGGGGCGGCGTGTGCGCCCTACGGGAGGACGCCCCCGCCTCCGCTCCCTGTCGCCCCCGTTTTCTCCCCACGCCTGAGGGGGGAGGCCCCTGGATCGACGGGCTTTGTCCTACTTCTAAACGCTCTCCTGGGTAAACTCTAGGAAGAAAGGGGCTTCTGTCTGTAGCGGCCCGGCCCTCACTGCACACAGTAGGCGCTCAGCACGGCATTCCCGTGGGACCGTGGACGTTCGCTGCCCTCTCAGAACCGCCGGACGCCACCAGCACTCAGAACCCCGCGTCAGGTTCTGGCCTCCCAACGCCTCCGTACCTGGCCTCCGTGCCCCGGTGAGCTCATCAGCAGATTGGCTCCATGATTTGGGGGGACCACAATGCAAAATTAAGTGAGAGGCCCCTTGGTCAAAAATGACCGAGGGACAATGTAGGAAACAAGCCCCAGTCCTGCCCACTGAGGACGAACTGCAAGAGCGTGAAAGTGACACGTCCGTGGGTAAACTGAGGCAGGGGACATCAGTCACAGAGGAGAGAAGATAAGGCTCAAATCTGGAGTGGAAGGAGGTGAGGGACAAGACACAGCAGGAGCAGAAAGACCATCAGGTGTGCAAAACCAAAGCAGTGACCTAAATCTGAGCAGTGACCAGCTCAAATCAGAGCTGGCCTCAGGTTGCCTGGGGGACCCCTAGGGCTTCAGAGGGGTGCAACTGGGTCTCAGGACTTAGGCAATGCAGTCTAGCCAGGCCTCTCAGGCTCTTCCCTCCTAATGACACCTGTTGCAAGAGGGTAACATCAAGCCTCCCACAGTCTGTCTCCAGGGAGCCACCACCACCTCCCCCAGCACAATGGGCCAGACCAGGCTGCATCTAGGAACATGGATATCTGGACCCAGGTCTCAGAGAACTGGTATGCATTGACATGGAGACCAGCTATTTGCCCAGGAGTCAGGGTACGCTCTGTCTGTCCCACCCAAGGGAAGCATCTGCCCCATCCCTATAAACCTTCACTTTTGTCAATAGTCTGACTGCTGGCCAGGGGCTCTGAGGACCAGAGGTGTCTGGGCTGTCTTTCCTGGGTAGTGAATTTCCACAGCCTGATCCTCACTTGAGAAAAGCCTGCAGCCCTCATGCTCTCCTCTCCTCTGGGTGAAGCAGGCTCCGTGATCCCCGTTTCACACACATGACCTGTTCTAGGATGCACCCAGGCTCACCTCCCACCCACATTCGCCAGACTCTCCCAGAGGATTCCTTGAGAATGGGCCCCTGGGCCTAGGAACCAGAGCTGGTGCGCAGAACCAGCTACACAATTTTGGGGGCCTAGGGCAAAATGAAAATGCAAGGTCCCTTGTTCAAAAACTATTAAGAATGTCAAAATGGGGCGGGGGGCATCTGGCTGACTCAGCTGGAAGAGCATGAGGCTCTTGATCTCGGGGTCATGAGTTTGAGCCCCACGTTGGGTGTAGGCATTACTTAAAAATAAATTTAAAAATGTCAAGATGGTGACAATAGAGCATTGAACTAAGCATTGGGGCCCTGGGTGACTGCATGGGTTGTACACTCACAAAACCCACACCACCCAGCTGGCAAGTCCTAGACGCCAAGCAAGGTGTCTTCTGGCACAGAGTCCAATCTGCTCCCTCTGTCAGGGTCCATCTGTTGGCCTCTCCTAGTGCTACGGCCGGCCACCTCTGGGGGTACTTTCCTAACCACCCATTCAACAAAAACTGAGCTGAGTTTCCTCAGGCCCACCAGATATCGCATGGAGGGGATGCATCCAGTGCTTTCCCATCAAAGGATCCAAATCATAGAATACTCCCAGAAATGTTCATTTTTGCAAATGCTGGATGATTGGTTCTCTATTTTCAGCTGAAGAACACTTGCTCTTGAAAAAATATATAAGGGGCATCTCTGTAAGATGCTGAAATGTGAAATGTAGCAGCTGATTGATGAGGGTTTGGCACGAATCAACACTCAAATAATATATAAGAACAAAAGTCAAGCGTGTGTTTGCGGCCTCTTAAGGTCTATGCCACACCCACAGTTCATCTCAGTCTGCCCTCAGGGAACCAGGGAAGGGAACCTCTGCCTCAGCCCATTGGATTCACCTTCACCCTAGGATCAGGCCCGGCAATGGGGAAAGTGGTGAAAGACCTCCCCTGCCTGGGAGCTCCCCAGGGGTCAGCGGGGCCTGAAGCCCTACTTCTCCCGCCACCTTCCCGACCCTTCCACAGATGTGACCCCAGGAGAGCTCCCTGATAAACTTCCTGTACACTAGTCTATGAAGTCTCTCACCCACTGAAGGCACCCATGGGCCCCTCCCACCTCTTTAACTGCCCTATAACAGTTGTTCTTTCATTTGTTCAACAGATCTTCACTGAAGGCCTACTATGCACCAGATGGTGTTATAAGTCCTGGGGGTAAAGCAGAATAAGGCAAACACCTCTGCCTTCGTGGAGCAGACATAAAGCAACCAAAAATATAATGCAATAACATCGAACTTAGAAGTTCTATTAAAAATAAACAACAACAGGCTCTCTGCTCCTCCCCGTTCAACAGACAGCCGCGTATTCTGGTGCAGTGCCAGCCGCGTCCCTGAGACACAATGGTGAAGGTCGGAGTGAACGGATTTGGCCGTATTGGGCGCCTGGTCACCAGGGCTGCTTTTAACTCTGGCAAAGTGGATATTGTCGCCACCAATGACCCCTTCATTGACCTTAACTACATGGTCTACATGTTCCAGTATGATTCCACCCCTGGCAAATTCCACGGTACGGTCAAGGCTGAGAACGGGAAGCTTGTCATCAATGGAAAGTCCATCTCCATCTTCCAGGAGCGAGATCCCACCAACATCAAATGGGGTGATGCTGGTGCTGAGTATGTTGTGGAGTCCACTGGGGTCTTCACCACCATGGAGAAGGCTGGGGCTCACTTGAAGGGCGGGGCCAAGAAGGTCATCATCTCTGCTCCCTCTGCCGACGCCCCCATGTTCGTGATGGGTGTGAACCACGAGAAGTATGACAACTCCCTCAAGATTGTCAGCAATGCCTCCTGCACCACCAACTGCTTGGCTCCTCTGGCCAAGGTCATCCATGACAACTTCGGCATCGTGGAGGGACTCATGACCACCATCCATGCCATCACTGCCACCCAGAAGACCGTGGACGGTCCCTCTGGGAAGCTATGGCGCGACGGCCGAGGGGCTGCCCAGAACATCATCCCTGCTTCCACTGGCGCTGCCAAGGCTGTGGGCAAGGTCATCCCTGAGCTGAACAGGAAGCTCACTGGCATGGCCTTCCGTGTCCCCACCCCTAACGTGTCCGTCGTGGATCTGACCTGCCACCTGGAGAAAGCTGCCAAATACGACGACATCAAGAAGGTGGTGAAGCAGGCGTCAGAGGATCCTCTCAAGGGCATCCTGGGGTACACTGAGGACCAGGTTGTCTCCTGCAACTTCAACAGTGACACCCACTCCTCCACCTTCGATGCCGGGGCTGGCATTGCTCTCAACGACCACTTTGTCAAGCTCATTTCCTGGTATGACAATGAATTCGGCTATAGCAACCAGGTGGTGGACCTTATGGTCCACATGGCCTCCAAGGAGTAAGAGCCCCCTGGACGACCAGCCCCAGCGAGAGCAAGAGGAAGAGAGAGGCCCTCAGCTGCTGGGGAGTCCCTGCCCCAACTTATCCTGCAAAACACTGAGAATCTCCCGACCTCCACCGTTTCCATCCCAGACCCCCTGAAGAAGGGGAGGGGCTTGGGGAGCCCTACCTTGTCATGTACCATCAATAAAGTATACTGTACCCAGCCAAAAAATAAATAAATAAATAATAAACAACAACAGAATGATACAATAAAGAATATCTGATCTGGGCGCCTGCATGGCTCAGTCGTTAAGCGTCTGCCTTCGGCTCAGGTCATGATCCCAGGGTCCTGGATCGAGCCCGGCACCGGGCTCCCTGCTCGGCGGGAAGCCTGCTTCTCCCTCTCCCAAAAATCTTTAAAAAAAAAAAAAAAAAAAATATCTGATCTGAGCGGGGGGCAGCTACTTTAGATCAAACTTCCTCTGGGTCAAGGAAGGCCTCTCTGAGGAGGCAATATGAGGCCAGGCACTCACCAGTTTGAAGGACAAGCATCAACCAGGCAAGTTCAAAGGCTCTCAGGTAGGAAGTTGGGATGCTGGGTTCACAGAAACAAATGGTCCTAGAATAAAGCAAGCAATGGGAGGGGCACTTTGGTGGCTCAGTTGGTTAAGCCGCTGCCTTCGGCTCAGGTCATGATCCTGGAGTCCCAGGATCCAGTCCCGCATCAGGCTCCCCTCTCAGCGGGAAGCCTGCTTCTCCCTCTGACCCTCCCCCCTCTTGTGCTCTCTCTCTCAAACAAATAAATAAATCTTTTTAAAAAAGCCAGCAATGGGAGATGAGGTCAGAGGCAAAGCCAGATGATTCAGGGCCTGGAAGAAGAATCCAGAAGAATTCAGCCCTTATTCCGAGTGAGGTGGGAGCCACTGGGCAGTTTTAAGCAGGGCAATTATAGCAGTCACCTGTTTAAAGCCTCACTCTGGCTACTGGACAGAGACAGGACTCACCACATGTTTCACCTGCTCTTTGGCACATGTTTGCCCTTTGGCCTGATTGTTACTAACTGGTGTTTGTGCAATAGCCTCTCTGCTCCTTGAGGTTGGAGGCGAGTCCTGGGACTTGTTTGGATCCCCGCACCACCTTGCACTGAGTAGATGCTCAATCAATATTTACAGGTCAACCAGCTGACCCATCTGTGTCCCCAGTGATTTTCTGGAGTCTTGTTTCTTGGACCAGCATCAGCACCACCTGGGAGCTTAGAGGAAAGGTCGAAACCCAGGCCCCACCCAGGCCTCCTGAAACATAATCTAAAATTTAATAAGATCCCCCCGAAATTCGGATGCATGGTAAAGTTTGAGAAGCATTTCTAAAGAGTAGAATACCTAGAGGGCCAGACAAGGAGGTGGGGAAGGTGGGAGGTGACCCAGGAGGTGAACCCAGGTGCACACAGTGGACTCACTTGGGGAGTCTCCCTTAAAGGTTACAACCACCCTGAGTCACTGAGTCTGAGAGGAGCTCGGACCAGTAGTAGTAAAGCTAATACTTAGTTGGTGCTTTCTATGTGTCAGACACTGGTTCCTCAATCTTTTACTTGCATTAACTAATTCAGTCTTCACGACAGCCCTCTAAAGCAGTACTATCACAACCACCATGCCCATATTGCAGATGAAGAAACCGAGGCCCCGTGAGGTTGAGGTTATTCCAGAATCTTCAGCAGGTACACACACATTTGGTGGTGCCCGGCGGTTAGAGCAGGGCCTGTTCTGATTGGTCGCTGCCGGCCCTACTGATTATTCAATGTTTTGAACGTCGCCCTGGTTACGGAGCTGCATGGAAGACTCAGGATCCAAATCAGTCCACCGCGCTGGAGCCACACTCCAAATCACGATCCTCTATCCAACTAACGCTATCAGCACCCAGAAACAGCACACCTCAGGGACAAATAATGTGTGTCAAAATGTTTTGCAAGCTATAAAACCCAGTATGATTGCTAAGTGCGTAGATTCCTCCGGGGCAGAATTGAGAGAAGCCTGTTAAAGCTGCAGAAGCTGGGCCGCCAGAGGTCAGAGGAGAGACTGCTATGGGGGAGCAGCATTTTCTCTGCTTGCTCCAAGGAGAAACTGAATCAGAAGGAAAGGCCTCCCTGAGTGGAGCCCCCACGATCAGCCCTGGGGAGGCTCTAACTTGCCAGATACCCTCAGGCACTAATCACGTTAGCCTGGGCGTGTCTTCAAGGACTGACGGGACCCTACTGGTATCGACCACTAGAGGGCGCTGCTCCCCAGCCTTCGCCCTACTGGACCCCACCTGCTGACAAGAAACTAGGACTTGGAAGGAGTCCTAGCGAGCAAGCACCAGGGACTTCGAGAAATGGAAAAGGAGGGAAGGCATGATGGAAGGGGGGCTTATACACCCTTTCAATCCCCAGAACACTCTGGTGCAGGAGCTCTTGTTCCCATTTTACAGATGAGTAATCTGAGGGCCACAGATGTTGGACAAGATCCCCCAAACCAGGAAGTTAAGGAGAGGCAGGGCTGGGTCATCTGATTCCAACCTCAGTTCCCAAGGGGCCCACAAGTAGATGTCAGCTCGTCTGACCCTGTCATGTCGCTGGTGTCCCTGCTTCTGTTGACCCTGTGTTCTGAGCGGAAGCCAGAACCTCTACCTGGCTGTATTTTCCTGCTGTATTCCAGCAACAGTTCCAACAGCCAGCACTCATAAAAACGGCCCCTTCCTGAAACTTTTGAGGTCATGATCTCCTGCTTCATTGTCCTCCGGCCTTCAGGGACCCCCACCTGCCGCCCCAACACAGCAGCCTCCGACTCTGGCAGATTCTGGGGTCTCCTCTGATCCCTGACCCTCTGATCCTAGCCTCAAATTCTACATCCCTTCCCCACCTTAGGGACCCCACAGGTTTAGGCTTTGCCCCCTGGCACCCCACGGCAGGGAGCAGCACAAATAAACAAGGGGACATTTGAACCAAGAAGAGCCTGTGGTTGCGGCCAAAGACTTTTTTCTCCCACCAACTCCTTTTATGGCCTCTGGGTCCAGTTCCTTCTTCATAACAAGTCAGAGCTGGAAAAGGCCTCCGGAGTCGTTAGGTCCAACGTGAACCAACACTTTCCTTTTCTACATAAAAAAAACCCCGCCGTGCTGCAACCAGGGTCACAAGACGAGCTAGGCCGGGGCAGGAAGCGTCCCGCACAGGAGGGAAACTCCAGTCCAGGGCGGAACCTGGGCACCTTGTCTGCCCAGGTGGCCCAGTCCCCGCACCTGCAATACGGAGTGGGGGTGGGGGCCCAACCGCCGCTTCGACTAAGGCCCCGCCCCCAGCTTCTGAGCTTCTGTATCCAAACCCCGGGACCGCCCTAACGAACATCTCTTTCGGCCCCTCTCGGTCGGCCCCTTTCTTTCGCTCTGCCCTGGGAGCTATGGTCAGCCCGCGTGTCTGTGCGCACGTGCGTGTAAATGATCCTGTATGTGCAGGAGGAGCGTGTGTGCGCCTCGGAGCGCGCGTCCGGGCCGATGCGCGGGTCTGCGTGCGCCCCCTACGGGCTGGCCACCCCCGGCTGCCGCAGCTGCCAGGGGGCTGTGTGCAGCGCTGCGTGTGCGGGGCGGGTACCAGCCCGGGCCACCCTTCCCTCGCCTCGCGACCGAAAGCATCCACACCATGGGGGCTGCTGGTTCTCTGGCCCCAGGCACGGGCCTCCCTTCCCGATCCAGCATTTTCTGTTTTCCCGGGCCTCCACCCCACCCCCCGCCCTCCGCCCGCCAGGAGCGCTCCGGGGCGGGGGCTGAGAACAGCCCCGCCCGGACCGGCCGGCGAGGGTGGCAGGGCTGCGGGGCGCGCGCCTCCTCTACCCTGCCGCCCCCGCCCCGGCGCCCTGTTGGGTTTTTCCATGACTGCATCCGGCCGCGGGCCGCCTTTGTTCCCGCCGTCCTTACGAGCTGGCCCGCCTCTCCTATGCGCGCCGGGGTTTTTCCAGAGCTCAACTGGAGCATGGCGGAGGCGCGTCCTGCGCCCCGGGTCGGGCGGCGCCCCCCGGCAGGACCCCCCGCGATCACCAGCGGGAAGCCGAGTCCTCTCCGGACATTATGCTCCGTCCCTCCTGTCCCCAAAGCCAAGGCCTGCGGCCCTTGTGCACAATTGGGTACATTTGTGCGCAAAGTTGACCTCCCGGCCCGCGCGCCTCCGCTCTTCGGGAAGCGCGTTTGGTGCCCCATGTCCCTCCCCTGGCTGCGCGTTGTGCGGCGGAGGTCAGATGGGTGCAGTGTTGGTGGAGCTAGAGCCGGGCCGCCCGGGCCTCCGGCTTGTAGAAGGGCCTCACATTTCCCCTAGAGAGCAGGAGGCGCAGTCGCAGAGGGAGGAGGCCTGGCCTGGCCGACCCCACTGCAGAGGGGAACCCAGGCGCGCACCGGGCCAGGCAGAGCTGGGAGACACCGAGTGTCCACCGCGTGCAGGAGGCCCCCGCCCCCACGGGAAACCGGGCACACTCGTAGCAGCAAGAGCCAGAGCGCGGGGGACTCCTCTGGGCCATGAGCCCCCTCCCCAACGTCAGGAAGGAAGGGGAGCTAGGCGGGAAAGGGGGAGGGTGTTCTAGGGAGTGAGAGCAGGCACGGGATCCTCACGGGCCGCGTGGGCACTGTGTGCCCGCAGCCCCATCCTGTCCACACTGCCGGATCCAGTCGGCCCCCGCGGAGCTCCGTTCAGTTTGGTCCCTGTGGAACGGTGGCGTTGCGCCCCCGGGGAGCCTCTCAGCTGTTACTCGGCCATGTTGGCGGGAAAAGTGGAGGAAGCACTGTGTTTGCTTCTGAGTGAGGCTTGCTGAGCCCCACCACAGAAGGCAGACTCTCAAGGTGGCCTCCAGCCCGGGGTATGGGGGGTGAGGGGGGCGTCTGGGCAGAGCAAGCGGTTCTGCATTAAGCGGGTGTCTGGCTGTGGGGGGGGGGTTGGAGTCCCTGGCTGGCCCCTCTCCACAACCGGACAGGAGGCGGCCCCACGTGGCTAAAGATCAAGAGGTAGGGGTGGGAGGAGGAGGAAGGATAAGGAACCATCCAGATCCAGGGAGGCCCAGGGCGCTCTCTCTGTGGGGGTTGGGGGGAGTGCCGGCTCCTTTTCTCCTCCTCTGGTGCCTTATCTTGTTTTCTCAGCAGTCATGGGGGAGCCTGACCACCCTGAAAGGGTGGCTGGAAGCAGGACGGAATCCAGGGCCCCCAGTGGTGG